AGAACATTGTTCTTTCAGTCGCACATAGTACAAGTATTACTGTACATTCAATGCCAATGGTAGTATTTTATTCGGCTTTATATTTGTATGTGTATTGATATCTATTTAATATTTGAAGAATTCTATATTTTTCCGAGTAATATATTGTGGGCCCGCTAATATACATTTTAATATTCAGTATTTCTTCGTTGTACAATAAATAATGTACACGCCTTGCGTCAATTTGACAGTTGACAGTTTATTTATCGCAGTCGACGCTGATTGGTTCGCGTTTAGCAAGATGCGAAAAGGGGATGATTGAATAAAACGCATGGTTCCGTGCAGGCTCACCTTTCTCCCAGTGAGCCTGTTCGCAGGCTATGTCGTAAGTGTTCCTATAGACTACTGGTTCCAACAACACCGGCAAAGTGGGCAACATTGTACGATGTACGTGTTCGCTGTCTAAATCTTTTGTTGATGTATTTCTATACTCGAGTGGCGCAAGATACGGATCTGTCCGTGCTTTCTTAGATTTCTTCATTAGCGTCTTAGCCGATTTAACTGCTGCTTCAATCTTACCATTGCTTTGAGGATATGTGGGAGAGCTGGTGATGTGTTGGAAGTTCCACTGGTGGATGTGTATTGCGGTCCATTATCTGACATGCAAGTCTCCGGAATCCCCTTTCTGGCACAGTAGGCTTTCAGCTTTCGAATGATAGTTGTTGACTTGGTCTCTTTCAAGAGATCAACTTCCCAACACGAGGAGTAGTAGTCGACACAGATGAGGTAGTTACTGCCATTATAGCTGAAAAATCCGTTACTACTTTAGCCCAAGGTCGGTTCGGTATTTCGTGGCCAATAAATGGACCCTACCGTGGGGTAAGCTAATGAGGTTTTGCATCCCTACCTTATGAACATCCCTAGCCCAGAACTCTGACTCCCCTCCTTTAGTCACTAGAAACGCTTTGAGTGGTTCACATCAAGACAAATGCTTCATTCATTACATACAGTCTCCGCGGCGAGTATTGCCCCAAGTACAAGCAGCGTTTCAGAGAGTTTGACTGTTGCCAAGGCTGCTCAAATCGTCGACGTCAACAATATGCAATTACTAATAACACTTCGTCTATGCAAGGAAGTTCGGTCCCGTTTGCTTTCCTTCAGGGAGCCTTGTCCCTTCAGCTTCTTCGTTACATCCCATCTACGCCGTGGCGCCTGTGTCAGATCACGAGCAACAAACGTTGCCCTCGAGAACTTATACGCCGTCGGTACAGCCCTTATCATCGCTCAAAGCGCCAGTCTACGCGTCAGCTGGTCGCGAGGTGCCAACACAAGCCGGTCTAGACTTTGGGTCGTCGCAGCAACCTCAACGTGTTGAACAAAGCCTCTCAGAGTTCGCCGTGGCTGGTCCGAGCCAGGTTGTGCCGCTTACACCACGTATTGCGTCGCTCCACCTTCAGCTTTCTCAAACGAGGCAACCTAGCTCGCCGCCGTATCAACCCCCGGTCGTGGGACCATCTTACGTACCACAATCCGGATCCTGGTAACACTCTCCTGGTCCATGGCAGTCAAACGTCTGTCCTTTGGTTTCAGCTGCACATGGACTCGTGCAGCCAGGTACTCAGTATTATTTTCCCCCTACAGACCCGCATTATAACGGGACTCGTGACCCCTTCGTTACGTATCCTAATCAAGCTCGATCGTTTGATGATGCGATAGTAGTTGGCCCCGGGTTTAACCCTGTCCCCCACAAGCTCGTGACCGCAATCACATCGGGCCCTTACCATAGTGTTCTTCAGTATTATTTTTATTAAACTCTTACAACGTAAGACAAGTGTCATTCCTTGTGGTGATGACCCCAATGCATCATGGGTCATACACCACATCTCTCCCCACGTAAACATTGTTGTCTCATTATAAATAAGAACTTGTTAACAGAATGTAAATGTTTTTATGGCGTCTATAATATGTTCGCACCATATACATACCCAGTACTATTTTAACTATCAAGTCCTAGTCTCATTGGTTCATGCCGAATTTATGCCAGGATATCGTTGCTCAGATTGTTCTACTTCATCCATTTCTTGATTTGGTTCTAAAGTACCCTGTTGCTCTTCATTAAAACTATATTTTAAGTAAAATTTAGTGTTTTTTCGCATAATGGATAATAAAACTGTTCTCAAAGCGGTTTGTATTTGATACTAGCTGGGACTTCGAAGGTTGTTTCTTTTCAAAGATCTCTATTAGCTGCTTTTGATGGGAGGAGTTTGACAAGCTTGTGGTCATCGTTTGATACAATATTATCAAAACGTTTGCAGGATAGATACTCTCGTCAATTTTCAAGGGTGGAAATACCAGCATTGATAAGAGCATCATTATAAATCACATCCGGGTATATTATTCTAATTGCACGCTTTTGTATACATTCGATGTCCTTGGTAAGGTATTGTAGCAAGGCGCTATGAAATAATTGACATGCATATTCTAAGACCGACCTTATGCAACTACAATAAAAGTTGACCAAGTCCACGTTCGCCACATCAGGGGCCGGTTGTATAAAAACGTCGTTAACTTAACTATGATTAGCGTTAATCACTGTAGTTAAATCCTTAACTATGATTAGTTAACTACACGACTTAATTGCGTTGCACAAAACGTAGTTTGTCGGATGATTAACTACTCACGTAGGCGTGGGGCGTTTTAAACACAAAATTACATAAAGTAAGCAGCGATTAACGACCGCTGACAAGCATTTTTAACATGATTGTAGACTCGCAATTTGCAAGTAGGCGGGAATTTTATTAACAACAGTGAAAAATAAACTAGAAAACAAGGAAAAATCAACGAAGAAGGCCATTTTTACTTGAGATGTCTACATTAAACCAAAGTGTAACTGTTTGGCAATTATATATCATGTTTCTTCGTGTAATGGGCCCCATGTCGTCTTCGACAAAATCTTCCGTTAAAGCATCGTTAACTTTAACTACGTTTTAATTACAGTCATAAACGCTAACTACTTTTTTATACAACCGAGTTAACTACGTGATTAAAGTTAACCATGTACTATTTAACTACAAAATAGTGATTAAAAAAGTGATTAAGAGTTTTACAACCGGCCCCAGCACGTTTAAATTACCTTAAAATACTCATTAATAATTCATAAACCTTAGTAAAGGATAGTAGTATTTCTTTACATTTAATAGGGTGGTGCGTGAAGAATTAATTCTTGGTGGGCAATTGAGAGCTATTGAGTTTCTCAGCTCACTAATACCACGTCTGTTAATACAAATTCCAACCATAACAAATAATTATTATTAACAACTCAATCGAAATTTAATGTCCATGACTGTTTTTGTTATGGTAAGTTTATCTGTGAATATTAATAATATGCATGTTATTTTTCTACGTGTGCAGACAAGAATTGCTTGTACGCTGCTCCTAAATCGAAAATAAAAATCCTACACGTCAATCGAAAATAAATATCGTTTAAAATCATCCTGCCAGATTTCATGACTGAAAATGAACCAGCATTAGGCTTTTTTCGAAAAGCGTGGCCCCCTACCAACAAGGAGATGAACAACAAGAAGATTAGCAGCGATTGGGGACTCAGTTTCTGGTCCAAAAATCGAATCGGTTACATGTGCTTTTTGAGACGAGAAGGGGGGGGCATATGGAAAACGTCAATCATTCATTCAGGGTGGCCACTGGGAAAAATGGGTATCAAAGGGTGGGCAACGCCAAAGTTTGAACCACACACACCAGCACGGTCCCTAATTTAACCTTGAAAATCATAATGGCTCGTAAACTATAATTATGTAATGATGTAATTGTGCTTCGCAAAATGCCAAAATCAGTCCTTTGCACTTTCTCCACTAAAAGTTCAAGGATTTCCACTTCACTGTTAGTCTGGATAATCCAAGGACAACCCTAATTGAATTAGCTGCCTGTATATTGGTCTCGAAGGAACATTCAAAAGTTACGGTTACCACTGAGTAATTTTAAAAAATACAAAACAATGTACACTCCGAAAACGGTTAACATTTTAATTCGACGTTTCGACTAGCTTGCAGTCATCATCAGAAATGACGCTACTAAGAAATACAAAACTATATATACAAGATCAAATGAAATATGATATCTGTAGTTAAAAATTATGAGTTCCTTAGGGGCTTTACATCCGTGGTTAAGTTCCAGTCTCTGGCGATGAATATATAGAGATTCTTTGAAAAGTAATAAAGACCAATGTCTGGATTTGTCTAATATCCTATTCAGAAGTGAAGTCGTCCAGATTAAATAGTGTATGAGGAAGATTAAATAGCGTTCTATAATACAGGAAGTGTTCGCATGAATTTATGTGTTTGTAAATCTCTGATTCTTTACGTCGGGCATGCTCTTTCAGCCTTGTTATCAGACATCTGTCTTTCCGATGTAGGAAGCTTAACATCCAGGGCAGCTAAATTTGTAGACTACACTGTTTTGTAGTTCTTCAGGAGTCCGGCCTTTCATGCTTAGAAAGGTGTTAGTGTTGGTGGTGTCGTAAATAGTGATGAATTGAGCGCGTTGTTTCAGCAAGCGCGTTACTTTAGTGGTACAGGATTTAATTAATATGTTTCCTCTTTTACCGATGAATGGTAGATGAATCCAGATTTTGGGAGGGTCTGTGACATTGTCTTCGGTGTTGATGGTGGTGTTGTCATTAGGGCTTGGCTTTGGTGTGAAGGACTCTATGAGTTTATTTGTCAGACGACGGGGGTAACCATTCCATGACGCAAATTGGGCAATGTTCTACAGTTCAGTTTTGAGTAACACGCTGTTACTGCATATCTTATGTGCGCAATAGAAAAGTGCTCTAAGCCATGTCGTTTTTCTGCACCATGGAGTGAAACTGGAGAGATGGATGTATTGACCAGTCTGTTTTGACTTGCGATAAATTGACGTGCCCGAGGAAGAGGTTTTGATGTCAAGGAAGTCAATATCGTTATTGTCAGTGAATTCTTCGTGTGTAAATTGAATTTTTGTAGTACTGTAGGTATGTCAGATGGTCTAATCAGTACTAGTGTGTCGTCTACGTAGCGTGAGTAGAATTTGATTTTGTTAGAGGATATTAGTGGTCTCGAAATTTCATTCTCGAAGGTAGTCATTAGGATATCAGCTAGAGTGGGCCCTAAGGGAGGCCCCATAGATATTCCGTCAGATTTTTGTGCATGAATCTAAGAGTAGTTTCTTAAGTGTTCGTTTTCTTATTGTGGTAATAGTGCGTTTGTCTTTGTATATTCTGTCTAAAATTATATTGATAGTTTTGCGTGATGGAATGTTGGTAAAGAGAGAAGTTACATCAAACGATACAAATCTGTAACCTTGTGAGAATAAGTGTGAGGGAATGTTGTGAATACGTGATACTGCGTCAAAGCTATCTCTTAATTTAAATTCGTTGTGTGTGAGAGGATTGAGTAAAGACGAGAGGGTTTGCTCTAAAAGGCGGAACGCTGGAACGTGGAATGCTAGTTTTTACCTTTTTTGTTATTTATCAATATTTTGAGTTGATTTGCTTGGTATCTACGCACTCGCATAAACAGCAGTGAAGAAAACGTATTACAGCATTTCTGAGATTTGCGAATATTTCCCAGTAAAGAAAAAACAACAGAATTACGCAATAATTATAATTTAGAGAGAAAGAAAGAAAGAAAGACGGGGTACAGTGGCGTAGGAAGATGTTTAAAGATATGAGGGCTAAAATTCTGGGCTGGTTTTGCAGGGGCTCAACCTCGTTCTCAATTAGGCTTTCGTGTGAGGACGAGGTAGGGGCTTCGGGAAAGTTTGAAAAATAACGTCTGGAAATAGCATTTCTACACTTTCTGGTGGCAAATTTAAGAAATCGAACAGCAGAAATATCGACAAGAGTGTGTTTAATATTTTTTTTCTAACTATGCTATGCGTAAAAATAAACTACAATGTTCATTAATTCGCTTCTTTCGCGAGGGACTCGGTAGCAAAAACGACAATTTTTTGGCTGAACACGGTAAATAAATGGTATCTAGTAATGAAGAAAGGGGACATAGCCTTAATGAGAAGTCTGATTATATTTCCTGTCTGACCCTGACTGCACAATTATACCTCACAATTCCCTCTTACCCCTGCAGTGGCGTAGGAACCCCAGTTTGCAAACAGGGCTTAGCTGAATTAATAACAAATATACGCATAGCATAGTTAGAAAAAAATTATTAAACATACTCTTGTCGATATTTTTGCTGTTCAATTTCTTGAATTTGCCACCAGAAAGTGTAGAAATGCTTTTTCCAGACTTCATTTTCAAACTTTCCCGAACCCCCTGCAAAACCAGCCCAGAATTTCAGCCCTCCTATCTTTAAACATCTTCCTACGCCTCTGTTCCTACGCCACTGTACCCCGTCTTTCTTTCTTTATAATTATTGCGTAATTCTGTTGTTTTTTCTTGACTGGGCTATATTTGCAAATTTCAGAAATGCTGTAATACGTTTTCTTCATTGCTGTCTATGCGAGCGTGTAGTTATACCAAGCCAATCAACTC